CTTGGAGTTGTACATATTTGCATTTACGCTCTTTCCAAATTAACTAAGCATTAACGTGGAAGATGAACCTTGTAAGTATGTGTCCCTGATTAACTAATGAATTTTTCGTTTTCGAAAAAAAGGAGAATATTTGAGGGTTTGGGCTCCAGATTGGATAACATGGCTACGCTTTCACCTTCTGACCTCACACATTATGGTTCATTGCTTCAGGCCAGCACCAGCAGGCCTTCATGGTGATTAATGAAAGAAGCAACATTTAGGGCAGACCAGGACGAGAGCCTGCTGTGAAATGGGCCTACAACTGCAACACCAGCCTTAACCCACTAATAACCTCGTGATCCTGTTGTTTCTTGTACCCGTTGCAATTTCATCTTAGCGTTTGTAGGGCCCATTTTTACCTGCATCGTTGCATGTTTTTGGTATCAAAAAACTAAATAAAAATTTGTATTTTTAGAAACTTTAATTTCGAAAAATAGAACAATTTTCTCTCATCTACGCCCATTTATTATTATTAGGGTAAAATACAAAAATTTCCCCTACAGTTTCTGATTATCATAAAAACCTCCCCTGTAGTTTAATTTTAACAAATTTCTCCTCTCAACTTTTGAAAAGAAAAACAACATAAACCTCCCTTTCCTCACTAACCCAGACTGAAAACGTATAAAGTTACGGAACTACCCCTAACTAATTATCAGGACATCATTGAAAATATATTAAAATTCTAAAAATGCTCTCACTCGATTAACAACACTCTTGCGATTTTATAAGTCTTTTCCAGAGCAAAAGAGTAGAGTTTAAACCTTAACACCACTAAACACTTGCACTGGCACCATCATTCAAAATATTCCATTCACCTAAGAATATTTTCCATTTTCTAGAAGCTGTTCTTCACCAGCCATTGTTCTTTGTCAACAACTGTTCTTCACCGGCAGCTGTTTTTCATTGTTTGTAAATTTCTTATTTGAGCTTTTTTTTTTTTTCGTTTCTCTTGCTATGAGGATTGCATTTCACAAATAGATGCGAGTATTCTCACTAATACTGCACGGAAAAATAACCAAGTCTCTCAAGGACAAGAAATCAATTCCTCTTCTACACTGTAATTTGTTAATGTTTTCTTTTGAATGTGTTACTAATATCACTGGTGGCTTGTAAATTGAGTAACTAGTAGCCAAGCGATAAGAAATTGGGGACCAAACGGAGTTATGCTTCACTGAATTCAAATACACAAAAACAATAAAAGCACAAATTCGTTGAAGCCCACAAAAACCAAATTAGAGATTCAATAAATGACATTTCATATGACACAAAGTGAGAAAAGAAGATGCATTCAGAAGTGTCCATAAATACATAAAACCCAAAAGCAAAATAGGGGGAAAAGTAGAATAGTGTAACAATTAGTTTTATTTTCTGGCATGCAATCAAACCCAAGAATTCATCATTTGGCATTTCCACTAGAAAACCAGTATCGTAAGTCCAAGATTAGGTGAACTTTAAGTTGATTAACACACTTCTAAGCGAACCTTGCCGGTGAAGAACAATCACCGGCAACATTTCACCTTCTAATCTATAGCTAAAGTTCAAATTTTATCTGTGTTCTCCTGTGCATAAACCATAAACGTTGCCTCACTTCTCCACTAGACAATCTTCGGTGGTTGAATGTTGTTTTCCTTCTTGATTGGATTTAGTTTCCGGGATGAAAGAGCCAACGGTGGTTGATTGCTACCTTTCCTTTAGTGGTTGAGTTTTGAGAACAGTAGATTGAAAGAGGAGAAAAGGATTCTTCTTAGGTCAATGGAGTATTAAACAGGGTTCCTAGTTAATGGAGTTATAAAGGGAAGAATTTTATGAATTCAGGGGAGGTTTTTATATTTTATCCTTATTATTAATATTAATTTTGTTATTATTATATATATATATATATATATATATATATATCAGATAAATGTTACTGACAATTTAATTGGTAATTACAAGTGGAAGATTCGGCATTCATTAATGATGCCTGACAGACATCTGAGTTCGTCAAAATAGAATCTTCGACGAACAATATGATTCGCCATTACTAAAATTTGGAACATTCAACGGTTTAGTATCTCTTGGAGAATGGGCCAATTTGACAGTAGAGTAACGTGGGGCGAAGAGGTAAATAACTTTGGTAATAATTCCCACTTCCCATGGGGGGGCCATCCATGTCTGAAGGACGGTTTTGGATTTATCAAACAACAGTTAGTTAAATATCTGCAGAACATTTTCAGTATTTGTTACCAAATTGAATGGGGGAATGGCTCCTGGAGGCTAAGCAGAATATGTATAGTAGGGTTCCGCTGCATGGGCCAGAAGCATATCCAAATTGTATATGGACCGGAAATGGTCCCTTGCTGGGTAGTACGCTATATCCAGTTTGGGGCCTATAACAGTTTTCAGCTTTCTGGACCATGGACCATGATTCCAGTGGTCCAAGAATCCTCAAAAAATCATGATGAAATGCGCATGAGGAATTGAGGATGGTGTTTTTATTTTTTATCTATTCACCAGGTGTCAAGTGTCATCAACACAACATTTATTTGGCGCGCTACAGTGATGATTTATCTGCAGCTGGTAGTGGTAGAAAGATAGTGTAGCAGTAGCTCTCACCTCACCAATCACCATTGAAGGTTGAAGCCTTTTGGATGTGGTGGAAGTGGAATAGAGTGAGTGCCCACGTCGTACGAGCCATCCCGGCCACGAGGTGCCTCAGCTGCGACATGACCCATTGTCCTTCCTGGCCACCAGGACCACACCATTAAATGGATTCGCTTCTCATAGTCATAGACTTCCATCCACTAGTAAAAACAGAAAAACCAAAAATAAAACAAAACAAAAAGTTTACCTTAGAACACAAGAGCAGAAAATTAATAGAAATCATCTGAATAGAAGCTAAGTACTGATCTGAATTGTGTCAACTCAATTAATGAATTCACAGCCTTTGTACACTGAGGATATCATCTACCTGCTAAATACAAGGTTGAATTGTCCATCTTAAGAAAAATCCTTTAGCTTAGTCATCTGATTTCGTTTATTTCTTTTGTGTAAGCAATCCATTCGCTCAAGGGATCCTCCTAAACTCCCGTTTAGGAGTTGTAAGCTGTTGCAGAGGTGATATAATGGAACGCGTAGGCACCCCACTGCTGCCGTGCATTGCATTTATAACTGTATCTGTATATGTAATTCTTGTAGCCATCAGCTGGGCCACAAAATCTCACAAGTGGGGCTAGATCTTTGGGGCCTGGAGAAAGCCCAGTTGGGGACCATGAAATATTTAAACTGTTTTAACAGGACGGAATGATTTTAATGCGGACCACTTTTTACGATGCTCATCTCCAATCTATCACTTATTAAAGGCATGTTTTTCTTATCATCAGCTCACCCCTCAATTCCCCCCTGGTCTTGTGGTCCGTCTGCTTTACGCGTGAAGATTAGATGAGTGGCTACAAGGCCCATAAGACGAGGCCCGAGAACTTGCCACTTGTCCTTTGTTATATATGTTTAGGGACCCATTGTTAATGAAACCTATATTTGATTATCTTGAGATTAGCTATGTCTTTACCATATAAATTTGGCCCATCAGTCTGTTTGGCTTGTGATATAAAATAAGAGAAACGTAATGTTGAGGGAAGGTTGTTGAAGAATTTCACACAGAAAGTTGAGAAAGCTGAGGGAGATTTGTTTAGGACCTTCTATCAAACCTAAGGTAATCTGCTGATTATTGTGAGAGAAAATGATGGAGTCATATCAATATTATGTATAAAATACAGGTTGAATTGATATTTTACCTTAATAGATTAAACCTTCCAAGTTTAAAACTTAAGGGTCTGTTTAGTTTGCAGTTGAAATCGGAATTGAAATACCTCACAATTGAAATCAGAAATAGTCTATTCTCATACTGTTTGGTTCAGACAAGAATCAGAATAAAAATTAAATTCAGCTGGAGTGGGATTCATTTCCAAAGAAAAGAGAGGGAATGGCCATTACTTCAAATGGGGGAATGCCATTTCACTAGCAATGAGAACGGCATTCTGATATCATCCAACCAAACAGTTGGAATTGGAATCGCCATTTGCCCATTCCAATTCTAATTTAAGACCTATTCCCATCAATCAGACAACCCTTATTATTATAAACTCGTTATAAGCAAAAATATATTTCGCCATAGGCTCATTACGGAAGGATTACATATACAAAGTTATAGTGTAAATACATATAAAATAATACAAAGTATAAGATTTTGCACTCTACAAATTTGTATTTATACTCTTACCAAACTAAGCCATAAGAACAATTTATAGAATTTTAGTAAGTACCTTCAAAATATTTTTGGTATTGAATCACTCAAGCTTTTGCTTCGACTAGGAAAAAAATTTCCTTGGCATAACAAAATACTCTTCTCTAATTACATTAATAATACTTATCAAAAGTGAAGTGATGAAAACCTAACGTGGCTATCTCGCCTGGGACTACATTACGTGCCAACCGAGCCACCACTGAGTTGGCAAGTACCTTGTAGTACGACTCTTATTCGATTCCGTCGGATTGGCTGAATTTTGCCCCATCTTCTAACCATAAGACAAGGTTATTTTTGGGTTTTCACATATTCACAGGCACATCGGAACACCTCTCGTGAATATTCACTAATAAGTACGGGAGATGTTGATGTGCGTGTGAGGCGCAAGGTGTGAGGAGCAGATCCGGTCTCGTTTTGCGCCCATGTTCCGGTCCGACACGTTAATGGCGTATCCCTTCTATAGAGATATTAAGATGCTCTGGAAAGCAACGTATCCCCTCCTGTTCTTACCGCAACTTCTTTTGCGCTTTTTTTTTTTTTCTTTCTTCTCTTATTTATAATACTTTTTTTTCTCTTTATTTCACACGTTGACCGTAGAAGAAGACCACCGGAAAAAGTACACAAATATTTTATACTTCAGGGGGAAGAAATTAGGCAATAAGAAAATAAAATTTCCTTTTCTTTTTCAAGAAATTTATTAATACTTTAATTTTCGGCTGCCAGCAACAAAAGAAACAAAACCAACTCTCAGATCGAAACACGAATGCAGTTCAACTCTTCAGTTCCCTCCCCTACTCCGGTACTTCCTATTAGTCCTTGGAAGTTTGGTTCTGTCCTTTTTTTAAATCTCTACACAGAACGATCACAATTTAAACAAAAAGACTATTTTCATCCCTTTTTCCGATTCTTCGTTTTCTATTTTCGGTGGATTGGAGAGGTAAGCAGCCTTAGAAGAAACAGTGATTTGATTTTTGGAGATGATCTCTCTCTTCCAATGCTTGGTGCCGCTCTACTGTTCTCTGGACCGGTTATGGTCGTTGTAGCATATGATTATGAGGCATGATAGCACTGTTGTATCTGAGAAAGCTGGAACGTATTATCGCTGCAGAAATCGTTGATCTTTCGCCGCTTGATATCTCTTTCGGCTGCTCTTATCACAGTGGTGGCTATGGTAGAGCCGGTCTTCTCGCTTTCTGTACTGGAGTATTGCTGGTCAAGCACATTGTCGGGTGTGTCCGAGCTCGAAACAATATCAAACGCCGATCCGTAGCCGTCTATCACTACATCCTGCATAACTTTGCAGCAATCGAACAGGTTTTCCTGCAACAGAAAAATGTTGTAAATGATTATAAAGCAAATTTACAGGAAAAAAAGAAGAAGTTATAAATCACTAAATCAGATATTTATCTTCAAGAATCAAGACTATCGATAGAATGGGAAAATGCTTACTTTATTTACATGTGCACAAGAAGAAATGGCTTTCTTGAAGCAGGGAAATTGCAAGGGAAAGAACTCATGAGAAGCAGAGAGAAGTGCCGATGCAGCAATTATGGACGGCTTGAATTCCAAAAGCTTTATCTCTGCAATCAAATTAAGGTTTCATGATCCGATATCGGGTTGCTTCAACGTGGAATTTCAGATGTCGTTTTCGTGTTTTACCGTTTTGTGCTTTGAAGATAATCTCAGTTGCTCGAGCTTTGAGATCATGTCTCAGTAACGGATGTTTCAGTTTGAATAGAGAAAGGAAGTAATGAACGAAGGAGAAGGGCGTTATGGAGCGCATTCTCCAATTGAGAGCTCCGAGTATCAGGAGCTCCATTCGCTGGATGGTTCGAGTGTCGAAGATGAAACCTTCTTCTAGCTGTTTCCGGTTTTAACAAATAGATGGAATTCTTTTCAATGTTAGTCGCGTTTAGCGGTTGCATCTAGAGTTTCGGTTATCGTCATATCGAACGGAAAAGAACAACAGAAGGAACGAAACGAAAACATCTACGATCATCAATATAAGAAGGATCCCCTTTTTAGTTTTTACCTGAAAATCAGGAAATGAGAAGTCTGTTTTCTTCATCTTCGCCGCGAGGGATAGGCAAGACATTGCCACAAGCCTCAGGATCCACGGTTTTCCTTGCTGCATTATCAAGATGGTGAGATCTTCAGCCAATCGAACGAACTAACAAGTGAAGATGCTTAAGAAGGGGTGACAATATATAGAACGTAACAGAAAAGTGAAGATGCGCTTGAAACTCGACGGACTCTTATCTTGCTTACCGGAAGTCCTTGTCTGGAGATAAATCGATCGAGATAATTGACAGCGAGGTATGGTATGAAAGGATCAAAGTTGCAGGAGAACTGCGCCTGACGAACTAAAACAATTTCAGAAAGGAAAACGAGAAATGGCCTATTGGACGGAATCGATAACAAGAAATAGGACCTTGCTTCACACGATTACCTGTAGAATCAAAGAGATAATCTCTCGGCGAATGGAAACATCGAAATCTCTGGCTTTCATGTCGAGGAAGTAGTTCTGGAAAGGCATGTGATCTGATTCGGCGGCAAAAAGTGACGGAATCGTATCGGCTTGGTGCTCTTGCAAGCTCGTCAGTGGATTCTCGAGATCAAACTCGTCCATGGTTAGAGTTCTCTGATGTCAGAAGCTTTGATGAGATGAGACGAAGGTCATTGGTTTTAGAGACAGTCGAATCGCCTGCCTAGAAGAAACCCAAACGCGAAGCCTCTCTGGTCTCTATCCATAGACTACTAAATAGCATAGGGCCGGGGTCGCACTCCTCATCAGCTCAGCTGGCTCTCTCTTTCGTTCTCTGTGCGAGTTCTTATTGGGAAGGAAAATCGAGAAGAGAAGTGAAGAATATAAATCGTCTCGCTGCAATGACTTAACTGATATCTCCCTTTTCTTTTTGGAGAGGAGAGATGTCGGAAACAGCTATAGTTGTCTTTGTCAATGGCATGGGTGCGAGCGAGAAATTCTACCACCAACTTTCTCACACAAGATCTTCGTCTCGGGAGAAATTCAATTCCACATTATATAATAATAAAGATAATTTTGTTAAATAATGGGATGATAAATCATAAACCGTCAGATTAGATTCGAATTAGATAATAAGAAAACTAATAAATGATGGATACTTTTGTTTCTGTATTTCCGTTGTCAAACTAAAATCTCCCGAGATGCATATTTGTACATACTTTTGCGTCCTTAGAGCATTAACTACTATACCTCACTGGTATAGCCATTGGAAGAAAATGCGACTCAAACCATTTCATTAGTCAGTACTCAGTAGTCACGGCACGGTCTCCTTCTCGGTGATACTTCGGCCGGGTATCCACCCCGGATGTCGGATCTCCTACCCACACTATTCCCACGGTGGAAATGGATGTGGGAACGGTTTCTGGGTAGGAGATCCGACCACGAGATTCTTAATTATTTTAATACCATGAATCATGAGAGATGAGACGGTGGTTTGTAATAACTAATAAGCCTGTGGTTGTTTGTCTCTCCGGGATGGGCTACTGGGGCTCTACACTATCCATGGTAGGCCTACGTCTACGTAGAAAAAGTTATTGAGGTCTGCGACCTATTTAACTGGATAGTGGGCCGTGGGTGGTGATTGGTGAATACAATTCTAACTCGATACATCTGACCAATCTCAAAAGATGGAAATCCCAAATCAATGGTTTTATAATAAAGGAAGATTGTTGCCACCACATTTGTTTACGGAAAGAGAAAATCATAAAATGGAAATATACACTATTACCATTTATCTCAATGGGTTAAGGTGAAATACGAGTTAACTAGGAGAGTCAGCCTCTAAAGTAGATCCAGGGATAAGGAATCGTCTTATGAGATGCATATATTAATTAGTAGTGCACATGACAATTTGTTTCTTTGGAAGCCAGAAAAAGGCAAGTTTCATTTTAAAAATCACATGACAATATTGTTGGTGGACTGAAATTGAATCAGAAACTATCTATCAATAAAATTTCAGAAAATGGGTGAATGGTGCATTGATATCGATCCAGTCACCGATGAGGTCCAGTTCTCACTTAGGCACTTACTGCCAGTTACCACTTAGCAAGCTTATTAGAGAAAAAAGCTTCGGTGATAGCAAAATCTGAACCTGGTATGGCGTATTAAAAAAAAAAAAAAACTGAACCTGATAATCATTATCAGCGTTATGATTTCGGCCGATGATGAACAGAATTACAGAAGTGAAAAGTCAATCAAAAGTAAAATAATAATATTTTAGTTTCTTGCGGAGACGCCCTAGTTCTTGCGATCCTTGTAAACAGATTTTTTTTTTTATTAAATAACAATCTTTCGTGATTTGAACAAAAAAGAGCTGAACCCCNCCCCCCCCCACACATTTTTAAACGGATATGTTTAGCGAACAAAAATTATCTAAAATTCACATGAGCTCTTAAACCTACCATAATTTTTCAAAACATCTAAAACTCACCCTCTCACTAAGTTTTTATTTTTCAAAAGTCAGTTGAACCTTTGGCCATTATAACACTCAATTGAGCCTTTGGCCAACTTTACCGTCGGAGCCTTTGGCCAATTTGTAGGTGAGATACTCGGGCTCTTTGCCTCGAAAGTGATGAAGCTGCCCTTGTCTCCAGTTTTGGTAACAATCTTACTTATTAATATTTTTTTTTTGCTAAAGCAGAAATTAGTTATTAGAATTAAAGTGTTTGGTGAGGTCTTTAACCCATAAGTGTTTTTTTTTTTCGCAAAAATGATAATTATAAACCTAAATTGACATAATCATATATTGGATAAATACAAAGACAAATAAATAAAAGAAGATAGAAAAATAAAAAAAATAAATAAATAAAAGGAGAGAGAGGTAGTGGTGATTCAGTAAAGACTTACTTACAAACAATGGTGGAAGAAGAAACTAGAGAGAAGAATGGGAGAGAGAGAGAGAGAGAGAGAGGGTGGTGGTGGTCTTGTGGTAGGGGGCTTGATCTCGTTGTTGGTTTGGGTATGTGAAAGGAAGAAACAATGATTCTTTTGGGAAAATTCTTGATTAGTACTATGTACTTTGGGTCTAATGCCACTTTGGTCCCTGAGATTTAAAATGCGACAATTCAATACCCAAACTTTCAAAACATGACAATCCAATACCTGTCATTAATCAGCCGTTAATTGGCATTTGAAAAAGACACAAATGCCTTTCGAGTGTCATCTAATTTTATTTATCAACCATCCAAACAATGACAAAAAATTTACAGTTTCATATCATTTACTCTTCTATTCAAGAAAATTGGAATCACCAGAATGCTCACTCAAACATAACCCCAACTTTCTTGAATGGAAAAAGGAAGGATTTGGGACTAGTAATTTTTTGTCAACGTTTAGATGGTTGATAAAGAAAATTAAGTAACACTTGAAGGGCATTGTGTCTTTTTCAAATGCCACTTAACAACTGGTTAATATCTAGTTAACGACGGGTACTGGATTGTCATGTTTTAAAAGTTTAGGTACTGAATTGTCACATTTTAAAGTTCAGGGACCAAAGTGGCACTAGACCGAAAGTATATGGTACTAATCAGGAATTTTCTCTTTTTTTTTAAGATAAATACCTGGAAAATGTAAAGCATTGAGAACAGTTTTGTCCCAAAAAAGAAATAAGTATTGATTGAATAAATACTTATAAAAGTCACCTCAATTCTGGCTTATTTTTAAAATAATCTCTTATCCTTGGTTTATTTGACAAATATGAATAAATATTTATTTTCCATTTATTGTGTGATCCCAACACTTAAAGATAAATACTTATTTTAAGTGTTCCATTTATACAGAGGCGAAAACTATCGGTTTATAGTCTATAAATCCAAACTGAATTAGGCTGATCCAGCTTAGGATAACAACCTAAGCCATGGGATCAGTGTCTTATAATGACATGGTATGGAAATATTTTAGAATAATTTCAGTTTAGAACGAGTATAAAGACAAATATATACAATATAAATACATATAAAATAATACAATATATAAGATTTTGCACTCTAAATATTTGTATTTATACTCCTTTCAAACTAAACCTATAAGAAATAATATAAGCAGGGGCCCATGCCCACTTGGGATCCAACTCAATTGGGTAGAATCCAGATTCTCTCTCTTTCTGAGCCAAAATATCCATGTCCATGTAATTACATGCTGAAGCCACATCGAAACGCTGTTGGATCGAACTTGAAGAAAAATATGATTTGTTCATCAAGTCAACTTCGTCATTACTATGGATCAGACCACGAATGTAGCATAAAAAGACGAATTATATCCCCTTCTATACACTTTTACACTTTTAGTATAAAAAAACACGGATATATAGTTTGATATAATGAAACAAAAAGGAATTAAATGTAGATATTATCAGCTACAAGGATGGACCCTATTAGTGACACAAAATAATAGTTATTAGGGTATTACCTTTTATCAAGGTTTTTAAAACTGACTCGGATAATGAACCGATTAAGGGTTTGGTTTTCGGGTTGAACAGTCTAATCATTCGAACTGAACGATCGGCCTGTTCTGACAAAAAGAAAATTAAAAACAGTCAAAATTGTTGAACAGTTCGAACGGTTTAACTGCCCGAATCAACAATTTGTTGATCAAATCAACGTTTTTTGAGCAAAAATCCAATTTTGGTGAAAAATAGAACTGATCACATAACTGATTCCCGGTTTCTCCGGTCCGACATCTGATCCAGTCCCATTTTGAAAACCATGCTTTTTATAAAAGTTACTAAACTTATAAACAAAATCCAGTCCTATGTGAGTGGCCACTCTTGGTTTCAGTGTTTTACTCCACAAAAGAAAAAAAAAGTTTCCTTTATGGGTTTTTATCCTATCTTTATTATGAGGGGTTGCTAAGAAATGAATGCAATGTGATGTTATTCCTTCTTTTAGGTGAGGCCCCGCTCTGTGGACTGAGATGCTGACTGAGTCTCCTCTTCCAGCTGAACGGTCACATGGGGCAAGGTGGTACCCTCCCCCACCATCTGCTTCATTTCTCCCTCCCTCCTCCCAAAGCACAGCAAAGCTCATTTACTAATGCCTGAATGTATTGCAATTAAACAAAAAAAAGAAAGAAAGAAAACTACTTTATCTTAAAGCTTCTTTATATTTGTTTTGCTTATCCTTAACACAGTCCCATCCGCTTTGCTTTGCAGGGCGGCCTTTTTAATTTGCTACAATTTCACATCCCCTGCCCACACCATCTTGCCTATTTGTCATTCTGTACTCCACCAGTAGAAGCACGTGACACGTGATCTTTGTGCACGCGTGCAATTCCCAACCCATTGGCTTAACTAGTAATTAATTAGTTAATTTTAACTTAAAAGAACATGGTAACAATCTGTTGGGTTCAGTCTTTCACATGTTTCGGTGGGGAGTTTTAGTACTTTAGTAGTCAGGACTGCTCTGAGGATCATAATTAGTGATTATATGTACGACAAATGAATGGTGTAGGATTACTTATGCAATAACAACCATCTCTATAATTCCTACCTTTATAATTTGGTACTGTTCTTCCCTTTGAAAATAAATTAATCTTTCCCTTAATTAAATTACTGTAATCATCAAGTAATTATGAAGAATCCGTATATGAACTGATGGCATAGATTGGCCATGGGTAGGTAAATTAGGAGTAGTCATCAAATAAGAATTAATTGAGCCTCTAAGGCTCAGTTTGGAAATAATATAGATGCAAAATAATACAAAATTGAGCCTTAGGCTATGATTGGTTGCAATATAAATAAATTTGTACTAATGCAAAAATATGACATTGCAAATGGTTTGAATATAAATTTTGACCTATTTTTTTTCAAATTTTAGCTTATTTTATTTGATTACAGTACAAATGAAGTAAATTAAGATATAAAATAGAATAAAATAAAATCCAAAATAAAAATAAACAAAAAGTTGCATTTTTTTTA